AGGACACGGACACACGTTTTGAGGGGCCACCACTGAACACGCTGCAGAGACTCAAAGAAATCGGGGGACCTGCCCGATACATAGAACCCTGGATTCAGTGCCGTTACTCCCTGGAGCAAGAATCAAGGAGAGTGCCTGTCCTTGACACTTGGGCTCTCCTCTCTGTCCCTTGTCTGTGGCGTGACCTCTGCTTTTCCCCTCTGTGCAAACCAGGTGCCCTGGGGCCAACTTCGGCCGGCATGTGCATTACATTCTGCCTGGCTTGCCTGGTGTTTTTCTCTTCTTAAAATTGAACTCGTTTCCAGCATTCAAAAGCCCAGGAAATTCCATGAGGAAGGCCACATCTCCAAAATTTCACGAAAAACGTAAATCTGTCAGGCTCCGCTGAACCCACAGCCCCGGTGGCCAGGGGAAGAGGCAGCATTGCTCATTTGGATTGGGGATAGCAGTCATGGGCCCCACAGGACCCTCCCAGTCTGGATTTATGGTTCTTGGACTGGCCCTCAGACAGTTGATTCCTATAATCTTGGCTTGGGCTGGGCATGGAGGTGCACACCTGTAATCCCAGCAACTCAGGAGGCTGAGGCAGGAAGGTCGCAAGTTCAAGGCCAGACTTAGCAATATAGGGAGGCCCTAAGCGATTCCTAAAAAAAAAAAAAAGTCCCTAAATAAAAATAAAAAGGTCTGGGGATGTGGCTCAGTGGTGAAGCAGCCCGGGGGTCAATTCCCCATGCCAAAATAATAATAATAATAATAAATAAACGTTTTGGCTTGGGTGATCTCAAAGGATGCAAGTGAAAACCAATAAAAGTTCTAGAAGAGTAGAGAAAAAAGCAGTGGCTGGATCTGAAGGAGGTGAGTGGGGAGGGAGGCTGTTCGTGGGTTGTTTGGTGTTAAAATGTTCATAACATGAAGCCTGTCATTTTAGCCGATTTAAAGGCGTGACTCAGTGGCACTCATCGTCAACCACTGCCCTTTACCTAGTCCCAGAACTTTTCCATCACCCCAGCAGGAGGGCTGGTACCCATTACCAGTCGCCCCGCATTCCCCCCTCCTTCCCCAGAGCCTGGCAACCACAGTGTGTCTGTCTCTGTGGATCCCAGGGGACTGTTTGGTTGGAGGAGGTGCCCTCTCCAGAGCAAGAGCCTGTCTTCTCAAGACAGAATTAAACGCCCCCTGCCAAATATCTCTAGCTGCTTCCCCTAAATCCTACCCTCCATCCCTAAGAAAAAGACATCCCGAGCTGAGAAGCAGCTCTGCCCCCTCCCC